ATTGGCCGGTATAGTAGTTGACGCCGCCAAACAATACCAATGCCAGGCTGTCTCCTGCTGCTTCAATTGCTTCATAAATATCAGCCTCGTCAATGGTATAGGCACCTTCCCTCGGCGCTATTTCAATAATTGCATCGGCAGGATCGTATCCATACATCTTCACTTGCGTTTCCAATGCGTACTGGTCGCTGGGAAATGCACCTGCTTCCATAATGATCTTATAACGACCATTTTTCGGACGATAAAAAGACAGCATCAGCAAATGAAGGTTGACCGTTAGCGTGTTCATCGCCACGACCTCCTCCTTCTCCGCACCGACAATACGAGCCAGCCCTTCCGAGAAATTATGATGATAGTACAGCCAGGGACTCCGCGCCCGGGTGTGGCCTTCCACCCCATGAGCCGCCCAGTCATCCAGTTCGCGTTGCATCAGGTATCCTACGCTTTTGGGCTGCAACCCCAATGAATTGCCACAGAAATACCGCACATCTTTCCCCTCATGCTGCGGAAACAAAAAACGCTCACGGAACGGAAAGAGAATATCGATCTGGTCCTGCGCCTGTGCAAATTCGAGTGTGGCCTCAAAAGGTACGTTCATAAGGTGCTGCTTTAAAACTGGCGCAAAAGTAATGGCAAATAACAAAAGGCGAAAAAGATAAAAATAAAACCACCTCAGCTACGCTCTGGTGATCACTGCAAAATCCTCCTCCGCAACCCTGACACAAGCCAATTACGCGTTGCGCTAAACCCGGGGCGGGCCATTGAGCGCAGGCGAAGTGCCGACTGTTCAGTCGCCAAGACATTGCCCGTATTACCATATCAGCGCAAATTCTGTAATTTAAAAACCAGATACTCAACATTAATCTTGTATCCTGTACATTTACACCACTAAATCTAACACACACCTTATGAAAAAGTCATTGTTGGTAGTTATTGTTGTAGTCGTCGTAATACTAGGCTTTGTAGGTTGCGGAGCAGGCAGCTACAATGGCATGAATAGCGCTCGTCTTGAAGTAGACAACAAATGGGCACAGGTACAGAGTGCCTACCAACGGCGCGCTGACTTGATTCCGAACCTCGTATCTACTGTAAAAGGAGCTGCTGAGTTTGAGAAATCCACCTATGTACAGGTAGCCCAGGCCCGTGCAGGTAACCTTGTAGATGCCGCTAAAGTAAGTGCAGACGAACTGACTCCGGAAAAACTGGCAGCCATTCAAAAGGCCAATGCAGAAGCCCAGCAGGCCATGCGCATGGCGATCAATATAGCCGTTGAGCGTTACCCTGACCTGAAAGCAACTCAGAATTTCTCCGGCCTGCAAACGCAACTGGAAGGCACTGAAAACCGTATCAACCTGTCGCGCAATGAATTCAACGAAGCGGTAAAATCATTTAACCTGAAAGTCACCAACTTCCCGGGGAATATAATGGCCGGCATCTTTGGCTTCAAGCAAAAACCAATGTTCCAGTCTGATCCCGGTGCAGAAAAAGCGCCACAGGTACAATTCTAATACCAGACGCCTGCCATTTATACTGTCCAATTTAAAATTACCGCCACGTAATTCAACAGGATTATTATGCTATTCTCAAAATCAGCACCACTGTTATCCACAGCTATCCAGGACCAGGTTGTAGCGGCTATCCGCATTGCGGAAGCCCGCACCACGGGCGAGTTGCGTGTTTTTGTTGAAAAGCATTGCGCGTATATGGATCCGTTGGACCGGGCCAAGGAAGTATTCACTGAGCTGGGCATGGAGAAGACTGAACGCCGTAATGCAGTATTGGTCTATATCGCATTGAAAGATCACCAGTTTGCCATTTTCGGAGATCGTGAGATCTATGAAAAGGCAGGCGGCCCTGTATTCTGGGAAACGGCAGCGCGGGTGCTTCGGCAGTATCTCCGGGAAGATAAGATCGGGGATGGTATTGCGGCCTGTATTGATTCATTGGGCACTGCACTGGCAACC